TATCCCATGCTAATAAAAGTGTGATTAGGTGCTGGAAATGCATGAAAGTGTATCAATGCAGTCAATGTGGGATTAACCCATTTTACTAACAGTGAACCTATTTGCAGCAGTAATCGGACCGTGATACACGCTTAAAATTTTTACAATTTGATTCTGTGGAGGATTAATTCAATCTTACATTTGCATCCCACTGTGCATACACGCCAAATGTACTTGTTTGACGACACTGACCCTGAAGCAAATAATCATGCAAGACACTTTCGACGATCATTCACAATCTAAATGTGTCTGCCAGGCAGCTTACAATAACACAACAAAGTCAACTTTAATAATAATTAACGAACCGGAGTGTAATCTTTAACCATCTCTGCATTCTGCTTTGAAATCCAGCCGTTCATTTATGCTATCTTGATTGAGATTTACTTGCTAAGGACGTAATTCAATGGATGGTAATGTATGGTAATTTAGCATTTCCAATATGAAAGTCGGCACGTTTTATTTTTGAAGCTATAAAAAATGTATAAACCGGTACCCTTTTTAAGGAAGTGTTTGACAATCGAATTATGCAATAATTTTAAACTAATGTTCGAGTGAAACGCGTTGCGCTAAGTTGGGTGCAAACATATTACAATGCTAAGTTGGAAATCTACATCTTCATACGGAGGCCTCGTAAACGTAACTGTTAAAATTTGGCAACAAAGTAAAAAGCAATCTACTTTATTCCTTTGCGACCATTAATGCACAAATTGCATCCCCTATCTTATTTGTTGGCTATTGGCAGGTGCTTTAGATATAAATTCTAAATTCGTGAATAAATAGCAACTAGGGCACAATCCATAAGTATGTTGTGGATTAATCTAGTGCGTATTGTGGACATCTTATGCGCCACCTTTTTATACTCTTCTGACACTGGTTGCACTATATTTTACTAATTAGTGGAGATTCAGAAGTGATGAGAAGTCAAATCCACCTATGTTCCAAAACATCTACATCATGCAATTAAAATTGCTTAAGAGGCCCTTGCTAAAAGCAATGAACCAGTCTTGATGAATGTTTGGCACGGCGTCATGCTACTCAAGGGGTCCCCCATGCCTGCACATATACGAAAAGCATCCCCATAATCAGCATCTACGATTACACAGCAAATATCGGCATAAAAAAGCCACTTTTCACCACTTGTAACTCAGCAAACACCTCTCTCTCATTTAAAGGTTCAAAGAAATGAGCCAGATAAAAAACGCTATGTCGGCCTTAAAAGGTTTTGATGCGGGATGGATGCACGACATTTGTTCCTACTTGGTATGGATGATCATCAATTTTCCACGTTTGAAGCACTTTTAAGAAAAGGAGATAACTTCATTAACAAGAAAGCCGACTGTTATCCAGACCCTTTGTAGCGTGTATTCTTTCAAGTGATGAATAACGGTTCCGTTTTGTTGCAGTAAACTTCCAAGTTAAACTGACCTTATTCTAGAGATAATGCTTAACAGACATGAGAACAGGAAGGGATTAACTGCTCGAAGTTTGAAAATCAAGTTACTGATTTCTCTCTCGTGAACATAAGAAGGACTTCACATTGGGTATTGACGGATTTCCGATTTCGATTACACCAAATGAATTTGAACATTACAACCATGATTAAGTAATGGTACTTTCAGAACAAACTTTTGCTTGATGAGACATGCAGCTTCAGTAAAGCGTTGCCGTGTGCAGCAGTGTAGATGGTTAAGTCTCGGTTCCAGCGCGTTACTAATCAGGGTGATAAAGGGATAAATGTTTAGAAAGTGAGATCTTTAATGCAGACGATGTGTGTGTACAGCACCTGTAGAGCGCGTGTGTGATTACTGCCAAGATTGCTAAGGCTAGGAATCCCACTTTGGTCATCACTTTAATTCATTTGTATTACCTGGAATGATCCATTTGTGAACATTGGTGTGCATAAGTATTGTCTCAATGCATTGTTTATCGACGAAAAGGACTTTGCAAATTGCAAGTAGGGCAGTTTCTAGAATGCTCGAAAGTCTAACCTTTTAACAAAAGATTCTGACACATTTAAAAACGAGTTTAATTTCTAAAAGATGAAAAAACTCACGTCTACCTACTTATGCTTCCACCTCACCATACTTTTCAAGCACCTATTCAATTTTCTGCATGCTCATGTGTATTCAAGCTAATGTCTAAAGGTGATAGCTCGTTTGAGAAATATGGATGAATGAGCGATCAAATTGGTGCCGCCCTTCATTCTGCCCCATATTCCAGTCTAGGCTTTCTCACTGACAATAGAAAACCATAAGTCATGGCCAGGACGTGATAAAAAAACAGCCCCATAGAGGTCATACTCGATGAATCTGTGCCCATTCCACCGAAAATTTTGCAAGTATTACTCGATCAAATGCCTAATTTCACGTCCAAAGGCAGCGGCTTCTGTATATCTTTCACCTCTACCAGTTAGAATGGCTGTCTGCACCACCGCATTGCAAGTCGCCGCCTCCTTCAAATGAATGAACTCTTTCCACTTATAGCCATTTGAGAGGCCTCACATCTTTTGCTAATTGGGGTTGTGCTTTGATCCCATCACCGTTGTCAACGCCCAAACAGCACCCCTGCCTGACCCCATGTCACGAACCGCCTTCTCCACCAGATCTAGTGTTCAATAGAAGAGATATCAGTTTGACTCCGCAAAATAGGTGCATCAAATCAAAGTTTGGAAGTTGGAGCCCCTCATCAGAGCTTCTCTTTTCATTTGTTTGAGTGCTTGAACTGATTAATCAGGGACATTAATTCACCAGCACTAAAGACAGGGGAGTTAAGAGGAGAATAGACTGCTGTGATCAGCATAGTATTTGCAAGCTATGATCAAATAAAGTCTTGCACTATCTTCCACAATTCCTTCCATTACTGAAAAAATTGGGCAATATCGAGATTAAAATCATGCTCTCCATATGCATTCCACTCCTGTGGTAAATTTACTTACCTGCTAAGGCCATTTGAAGTCGACTGTTTTTTTCATAGTCTCATATCTGAGTGATAAATGTGAGAATGGGTTTGCGGGGAAACTGAGTCATTATCGTGTTTAGGCAACCTTCGGAGAGATTATAAATGTTCGTCTGATGTTGGCAGTGAGGTCTTCCCTTAACATACCGGAGCGACCACTTTGTCAATAAATTGCCACCTCAGCCTCTCATATTTGACCCACCACTTGCAAATTTTGTCCAAGTTGGAATACTCCACGCTTTGCTTTTGTGAGCTGATGAATGTGCTTTGTTGGGTTTGAATACATGTCAATTAATCGATGGAGTGCTTTCATCGTTTAACGCACCATGCTGGTCC